TTCCATTTCCTTCCTCATCTGTACATTTTCCGTTGAAAATAAGTTTCTTGGACGACAAACTCGAGATTTCATGTTTATACTAAAAATGAATAATTTGTTATATTTCATTTAGAAAATTACCCTAGAACCTACAAGGATTGCATCAAATGTTGGGTTAATTAGTGTGATAGTATATCACTGTTCTAATCATAAGAGACCAAAAGAACATCTTTGTTGTAGTTAGAATTAATATGGAAAGAAAATGGAAACATATGTTTTCTTTCTAAAGACACAAATTATTTGTGTGCCAAGACTCAGTTATGGCATATCTCCATCCATTCTGGCAAGGCATACTGTGACCTAGTTGTAGTCTTCTTCATTTTTCTCACCACATCATTGTTTAGTAATATGATGGGGGCTCTAGGATAACATCAGCTAATGTTACATTACTCCCTTCTGTTTATTCTTATCTGTTTCTCCAGTCATGTTATAAGCCACCTGATGGCAGACCCTATGTCATGTTCATCCTCACATGTTCAGTAACCACGTCATTTCTTGCCATGTAACAGACCTTCAATAAGCAGAAGCTGAACTACGCTCCAAAAAAAATTAGGTCATGGGTGCCTTAGAGATTCTTTTTTTCAGTTAAATCTTTATTTTAATTGCTTCAAATAAAGACAGTTTTCCTAAAACAGTAATCCCTCCTCAGTTTCTGAACCAGGCACAACAGTATGAGGTCACAGATGCCCCTAACTTCCATCAATCCAGGCACATTTAGGTAGTGAATATTGTAATGATATGGCCCTGATGAGCTAGTGTACACAAAAACACACTTGAAAGTGTATTTTTTACCCAGTAATGATGAGGGTTCCTCATTGATTTACTCAGTCTCTTTAATTATTTTATCTGGCTACCAGTGAAGTGAAGCAAAAAACAAAGATATAAGTGATCTTCCCTGATCACTTGGACTATTCATGAACTTCAGTGACAAAAGCAAAACAAAAAACCATCAAAACTATAACTCAGGTGACAAAAAGAATGAATATGCTTATAGATGAAACATTATTTAAATTTTCTTACAGAAATCACAAGCTGTCTTTTTAGCAACATTTCCAAAAAATTGTCTATTGAAAGCTAAAATGGAAGTGTCCATAGATATGACTGATATATAAAAAATCACTATCATATATTGAAGAATTTAAAATGAAAATTACAGCTTTAAAATATAAAAAAAGACTTTTAGGAGAGCCAATGAGAGGTATATTTTTAGATTTCAAATATTTCCCAAGGTTTAACCTGAAGATGTGAAAAAGGAGCAGAAAAACATTAACTATGATGATTATGGGCCTAAGCATTCCCTGAGAAAACAGACTTTTATTTCACTCCATTTTGTTTTCTTAAATATGGAAACTAATTTCCCCCTTATTACTTTCCTAAAATAAAATAAAAGAGGAAAACTGATTTTTATTTTCTAGAAAGACATACAGAATGGAGTCAGGAGACCTGAATTCTAATTCTGTTTTTATTAACTGCTTAGGAACCTGTTATTAGCAACATAATAGGAATGGAATGCCCTCTATATCCTCTAATCCATATCTAAACACTGTGATTCCTTCTGCTAAGAATACCAGGCATTCCATTTGCAGCAAAATTAATAAAAATGAATTTCACAAAGTCACAATCAAAATCACAGAATCTGAATTTTCTTTTTTGTAGGACTTTTAATTCTACATAAGTGTTGGTTTTAGAGAATATCACTTTTATAGCATATAAAATTTTGGTTGAATCCTCATTCTAATTTTGAAATATTCATTTTGTTATTTGGTCTTTGAGAATGCTTTCTGTTGAATATTCCCTTCACTATAGTATGTACAAAAAAAAAAGCACTTTGTATACTTTTATGTAATAATTTGTTACAAGTACAATTGGAGATCGTTGTGAAGTCATAAAATTTGCAACATTTCATAAGATATAAATGCTTAGAAATTTGTAAATGAAAATGATTATATCCTTAAAAATATTCCACAAAACTAGGAAGATATGATAAATATATAGTAAGCAATGAAAATATTTTATGTAGCTATCCCTTGAGTGAATCTACCTCTTATAAGACACTAAATCACTGTACTCTTTAATATTGTAATGTTAGGTGTGTGAATATGCATGCTTTTCTCCTTTCAAGATTTTGTTTTTAAATTTGTAGAATTTTATGTTAAGTTAATAAATTTATGTAAAATGATTTGTATGAGGCTTTCCTGAATAAGTGAGCCACTTTATTTAAGTAAATAATTTAAGCAAGTATTCAGGTTTTATTTTTTCTTTTTTTCCCTATTTCCTGATTCCCCCTCCCTCCATCTTTACCCTCCTCCACCACACATTCAGCCAAAATTTGGTTTCACTGCAACATTCAACTAACAGTCAATTATTGGTGAGATGATCTACATCATTTCCACAGTATTAATTCTTGCTAACTTTCAATTCTCTTTAGCATTATAAACATTTAATTTAGACACAGCCTATCCTCTAGTGGCACATAATTACAAACATTATAAGAACAACCTGATATTCAAAGATATGCCATTCAAATATTGATATGTCTTGTCTCCCCGTGTTTTATTTAATTGATTTGCATAGCTTTAATATTGACAATGACTTTAAATTTGAGCAGATCTTCTTTAGTTCCAGCTCACAAGAGTTCTCAACCAAGATTTCTGCCATTATTTATGGCAGACTATTTGCATTCCCATAGGTAATGCTGAGACCATTTTAAAATTGTACCTATTACAAAGGATATGCATTTCTGACATAGCTTAGAATTTTATATTAATTAGAATTATGCTAGCATATACTGCTTTGAAGTTATCATTAATATTATGATGAGCAATAATGGATCAAAATCAGCACTGCTTTTTAATTTCTTTTTCCTTCAATTGGCATGTACCTTTTCCAATAAATTCAATACTGTTGGAGATAACTATAAATACTAAGCACTCCACAATTACTTAAAGAATACAGATATTTAGAGAAGTAAATTAGATTCTGTTTAATTGAACTCACAACTTAGCTACTATCTGATACAAACCACATGAAACTACTGCAGCACTTTTCAGTTTAAGCTTCAGTTTTGAATATTCTTTATTAAGCACTAAATTTAACTAAAATTTCCAAATTTAGAAAATAACACTAACATCATTACTCATAGTCTTTCTTGACTTTAGCTGCAGCCTTCCACATTTCTTAAAACCACCCCTTGTCAAGGACTTACTGCATCTCTGTATAGGTCTACACAAGAACTAGAAATAAAGACAGGATATAATTTGAATTTTTTACACTGGAGAAGACAAAACTTTAAGGCAATTCTCACTAAACAGATTTTCCACATAATCACTCAACTTTGCCCTGTCTTTCTTATGTGTGTAAAGATTAGTTTCTTTCAGGTGAGAAGACTTGTGTATCTCTCCATTAACTTAACTCATTTATTTCCTCAAAATTATTTAAAATTATATTCTTATCAGGAAATTTATAGTCAATCTCAACTAGGGCAGTTTTGAAGTTCCTAATGTTATTTCTGAGTACCTTTACCTGTATTTCCTAGTGCACAAGTCCCAGGACCAAGGGTTCTATAGAGTAAATTTATTGAAATTAACTTTAACCATCACTTGTTTAAAAATATCAAGTAGTAAATGGGAAGGGGGGGGTCTTTTTTTATTATTAACATTTCAATACTTGGGGAATCAAGACACAAATTTTAGCATTTAAATGGTCCCTTCCTGTGCTCACAATTCAGTCTCCCTTACATATTCACTGAACACAATGCTCTTGTTTTCTTTTATGCCAACTAAAAATATTAAAATGGCCAATAGCGTTTCTCAAGAAAGAGCAGCTGTCCTAAGAAAACTTCTAGAAATACCGTATGCTAAGGTACTACACCAACACCGGAAGAGGCAGAGAGCGCAGGAGCTTTGTGTACAGAGTTTTCTGATCCTCCTTTATCCCTCTTAGTCTCTAACCTAAAGAAAAATAAGGCTTTGGCTTATTGCAATACAAAGAAGATTTTTAAAGGGAGTTTGGTGCCACCCCTCTCCTTCAAGATAAAAGCTTCTTTAAGAGTGACAACTTTTGATAGTATTGTTGCTGAAGGAGATTAATCTCCTGGCCAGATACAGGGTCCTCGCGCTAGAATTCAGACCTGTTCCACTGGAACAAGTAAAACAAGGCGTTCCTTATACTCAACCAAGATACCTCTCAATGGATAGAATGAATCTGGGCAATGTAAATAGTTGAGCTGTTTAAAACAACCATACCGAAAAGTTTAGTAACAAAGGGTTTTTATTCGTTCTTTTTGTCATGCTTGCTCATACCCTACACCAAACCAGGTGCTGAAAAGACAAAGTAACTGCACGGAAGCCAGGCTCACGAAGTGCACGTGTCAGTCGCCCGGGGTGACTGTCAGAAAAGCAGGTTAGGCAACACCTTGTCTAGGGAATGAGATCAGAATTCACTGGGAGGACCACTGGCCCTGCGAAGGAGCGCCGCCGGACAGTGGGGCTCCAGAGCTGGGCTTTGGAAAAGGAGGGAAGGTGGGTCACAGGCGGACTTTGTGGAGAAGGCTTTGTCAGCGCGAGCCCTGGTAAAGGGTGGCAGATGCGGTTGTTTGCCGGCTGGCAAAAGCGGGAAATGGGAAGGGGGAAACCAGGACACTGAGAGCAGAGAATCGTGTTTGGCTTGACAGAGGGTTGGGTTCACCCATTGCTGTTTCCAGTACAAGAGCTGGGGTGCTGGAACGTGAGGCAGGACAGCAAGCTGCCAGCGGCTGTATCCCAGAGGGAGGGAAAGGGGTTCAGGTTGCCAGCAGGTGGAGTTGAATTCAAAGAGCCCCTCAGGGAGCGCGGGGCAACCCACCTGAGACCCTCCACCAGAAGCAGAGCACAGCAGGTGGTTCGGGGCATCTCTAAAAGCCATGCCGCCCTCTCCGCGCCCAGCCTAGGCGCCTGACCCCCAGCGCTGTCCAGGCTACTCACCGGTACTGGGAGAAAAGCGCCATCCGGGTGCGCGCGAGGGCTGCGCGGCGCAGGAGACAAGCAGGGCCCGGCGGCGGTGGCGGCGCTGTCCTAGGAGCCGGACGGGAGCCGGGGGACACCGAGGCGGCGACAGCGGCGGGGACACTGGGAGCTGCGGGAGCAGAGGGCGGTGGATCCCGAGCTGCTGCGCGGCGTGCGCTCTCTGCCCATCTCCGGCTCCGCTGAAGCGGCTACTGCTGCTGCCTGGGGGAGGGGGCAAAGAGGGGTGGGGGAGGGGGAGGGGGAAGGGAGGAGACTAGAGGCCGGGAGGGAGGGAAGAGAAGAAAGGGTGGGGGAGAGAAGAAAGGGTGGGGGAGATGATCACCCACAGTGGGTAGGGACGGGGGAGGAACACATTAGCCCAGCAAAGGTACCCATCAGAAGAACCAGGGAGGAAAGATTCAAGAGCAGGAGATGGGTCTCCCCCTCCTCCCACTTCCCCTCAGGCCCTCCTCCTCGCTTAGCTGGGGTTGGGGGTTACCGAGGCTCCGCGGCCGCCGCAGCTTCAGCCCGCCAGGGAGAGTGCTGGAGCCCCGAGGCGTCCGCGAAGTCTCTCTGAGCCACCGGCCTGAGGCACCTGTGCGCTCCCAGAGCGCCTCCCGCTCCATGGCGGCGGCGGGGATCAGGGGGCCGGCGTCCTCGCTCTCTCCCTTTTCTGGTCAGATTATAAGCATGCATGTGCATCCATGACATCTATGTCGTCCCCCTATTGCTGTCGCTTCCCAGGGCGCTCTTTGGCACCGGGTATCCAGCCAGAAGGCGCCGGCAGGGAACTCAATGCAGGGAACCATCGCTTGCCCCTTGAAGCTGTTGCCAGGGCTAGATTGGCTTGCTTGTTTGCCCCCGGGGTTGACCAGCTGAGACGATAAAAAACAAAAACAAAAGTCTTTGACCCCATTGCCTTAGGTCCGTATTCTAAGCGATCCAGGAAGGTTGTAATTGTGAAGGGCACTGGGGTGCTCGATTGTCTTCTGTCTTGGTGCCTCTTGGTGTTTCATCAATTCTGAAAATCCAGGACAGGACTTGGCACGTTTAATTAGAGCGTTTCTTTCTTTCTTTCTTTTTTTATTGTAGTGTTTTCGTTTTCACCCAATTCTCCCAGGGTTGGCATCACTTTCCTATTGTGGATTTTCTTTTCTCTATCAGATTGCAAATTATTCCTAGTGATTCGCAAACTACAAAGACTTAAATGAAAACAGATACGATAATTAGTGCCTGTACAGTAGCAAGATCAAGGGGGTGAATCTACACATACAGTAAATATAAAAACAATCTGGACAATAATGATTGATTTCCATGAACCATAATTTTGTTTCATAATCTTTTGTGTTATTTAAGGGTGGGCAGGAAAGAATAGAATATGTGTTAAAAATGTGACTAGAAAAATGTCTAGTAAACTCTTCAAATATATAAAAGTGATGGAATTATTCCTTGTGCATCCTGGAGAGAAAGTTTCTGTTTGTTTTAAGTTTCAGTCATGTTTTTAAAGTCTGGGTCTTTTTCTTTAGACTAAATGAATTAGGCATTTTATTTTATGTAAGTGTGTCTTATATAACAAATGTACCCATATTAAAATAGGTGCATCTCAGATGTAAATACAATGTAGAGAAACATTTTAATGCTATAAGTTTTAGGTAAATATCAGTGAAAACTCTCTGTCTCTTCAATATACAGGCACATGAAAAAAATATTTGAATGATGAAGTATTACTCAATGGTTTAGGTATTACCAACTTGCTAGAATCTTTCCCTTGGAGTTTCTAGTAATGAAAATGCTTGGTTTCACATTTATTCTGAATGAGGGAAGCACATCCTCATTAAACAACAAATAGCAAGCTTTTTGAATGCACACCTCAGTTTAAGATTCATTTGTTACTGTCTCCAGATGTTTAAGCATTGCACCACGCAAATTCAGCATATGCTATTTTTTTCAAAGACAAGCTCAGAAACAGAAAGGTTGGTGAAGACCTACTGCTTATTTGACTCTTTAAGTCTTCTCATTGGTGTCTATATTACAGATATAAACAATGAAGTTTTCAAGTATTAGTAATTTAACTGAGCAGGGAATGATAACCAAAATTTAAATCTCTGTTTTCCCACCCCACTTTAGGGTATTCCTCATTCCTCATTTACAAAGGCAGCTTGCCCTTGAGATTTTTTTCCAGTTTTTCCCTATATTTGATTACTAGACTCTGATAACAATATCTGCATAGTCTCATTTGGATGTGTAAAAGTTAAAGCAAAAAATGCAAATTAAAATGCCTTAATCCAAAGAAAAGGAATGATATTAAAGTTAAGCAAGCCAAATTATTAAGTTCCTACTGCTAACAAGAGTTTCACTCTTAAGTGCAAAAACTCTTTCCCTTGGTTACAACAATGGATTTAGAAATTAAAATTGGGCTGACACCAAAAAGAAAAAAAGGAGGAATCATAGGAAGTGTAGAGAGGTCTCTATTGTGATTAACCTTTACAAAACAAAACTTAAGTATACTTCCTGAAAGTGAATTACTCGTCTTGACTTGCCAAACCCATATATCTTTTTCCCATCCATCAGTGTGGAAACTGGAGTGAGTAGGAGATGATAGAAAAAGTCCTCCTAGATATGTCCTGTCTGAAGTAATAGAGGACACAAGATTAAAAAGAGTGATATTTTCAAAATGGAACTTGAAAAAATGCAGATTGTAAATGAAGATGATTTTTTCAAGAAGTTTTGATGTAAAGAAGACCCAAAATAGGGGAATGTACAGTGGAAGAAGAGAAAAATACAAATTAACTTTAAAAAAAGACGGGATCTGGAGCAAGTTTGAGGTGCCTGAGAATAATCCTCTAGAATGAGACATTATATCCTCTTCTGTGAATTAAGAAGAAATATAAACTACAGAAAGAAGTACTTATAAACTAAAAAGACAGAGATAAAAGGAGGCTTTGACTTTGAGAAGTATGGTTCTTTCATTGTAAAAGTTCAGGGGACAGGATATAGATCCCAGTACCAGGACACCTGTGGTTTCAGTGGAAAAACCACAAAGTTACAGTTGTTTGCTTCATCTTTACAATATTAATGTCTTGATAGAAAGGAGAGATTTATGTGGGGCTTCCAAAATTAAGAATTTATGACATTTTGTGAAAGAGAATATTTACTGACAGGATTGTTCATCAGTGTTCATTGCCATGGAAATTCAGTCACCCTGGTTTTTTTTTTAAAGATTTATTTATTTATTCACACAGAACTGGGGTACAGGCCAGGGATGCAGAGGGTGAGAGGATTCACCAGAGACAGAGTGGGGCACAGAACAGGCAGATCAACGTAGTACACTGCTGAGGAGAGCAGTGGGCAGGCCAGGAGAGGTCTGGCTCGCCATGTGGTCTCCTCCGGGGCAGGCGGGGATCGAACTCTTGCAGAAGTGGCTTAAGCTTCTTTGTGCTGTGCTTTAACCTGCTGCACCACCAGGGAGGGACAACTCTGATTTTTTTAAGAGTTATTTATTTATTTATTCATTCATTCACCTATTTATTTATACATAGAAGAACTGGGGTGTAGGCTAGAGATACAAGGGGTGAAAAGATTCACCAGACACAGAGTGGAGAGCAGAACAGGCAGACTGACTAAAATATAGTGCTGAGAAAACACTGTGAGAGACAGAAGAGATCTTTGTGGGTCAGCTCCTTGGCTGGGGATCAAACTCAGCAATAGCTAGTAGTGACTGTGCTGAGACTTAACCACTAGGCCATCAAGGCCCACCCTGGCCTTTTAATCTGCCAAATGATTTTCCAGGACATCAACACAATCGAACAGGATGTAAATATCTTGCCATGACTTTGTTATCAATACTGTTTACCTCTCAAATGCCAGCATTGATCCATTGTGACATTTCTGTCCAGATCATCTGTTCAGTTTTCTTTTGGGCTTCATTTCCCTTATTTATACATATTCTTTCTTTCTTTTTTTTAGAGATTTATTTATTCATACAGAGCTGGGGTACAGACAGAGGTGTAGGGGCAGTGAGAGGATTCACCAGAGCCAGAGTGGGAAGCAGAACAGGCCGACTGATGAAGTACACTGCTGAGGGGAGCAGCGGGTGTGTCAGGAGAGGTCTGCCACACCATGTGGGTCACCTCCCGGGGTGGGGATTGAACTCATGTTGAAGTGGCTTTAGCTTCTCACTGCTATGCTTTAACCCACTGCACCACAAGGGAGGGCCTCTTTATACATATTCTTAATTTTTCAAATGTTCATTTTAAATGTTGAACTGTTTATTACAAGTATATTATTATTTTTTTTTGAAAAAAATAACAAAAATTTAAGGTCAAATTCTAGTAGTATCTCCCAAATAATTTTTTGACCATAAAATCTTTGACTATTTCTGCTGAAATTCAAGATTTAAAAAAAAAACAAAGATAGTAACTGAATCAAGAATTCTTGATAAATAATATTTTCAAGTTAAATCTATTTGTTTTATTTATATGGTGTTGAGGTCGAATTATAACCCTTTCCTCCAGTACTCCTAAAATGATATGATAAAAATCCTAATCCTCAGTATTTCAGAATGTAATCTAGTTTAGAAATATAGTCATTGTACATGCCATTAGTTAAAATGAAGTTATAATGGAGTAGAGTGTTATCTAATCTGTTGATTAATACCCTTATAAAAAGTTAGCCATGGTAAAAAGAAATACTACTCTGACAATGAAAGCAAATATTGGAGTTGTGAGACAATAGATTTCTGTTGTTTGAGTCATTTGTAGTACTTTGATACAGAAGTTCTGAGAAACCAGTACAGATTGGGAGAATCCAGCATGTTTAAATATGACCAGGGTCCTGACTTCATAGAAGATTTAAATGAATGGAGCTTTGAAAAACCTCCTGTGACTAATGAGCGTTAATACTAAACTGAAGCCAGCTCTGTCAGCACTATCATAATGACCTGCCCACCACTGCCACCTGAGTTTGATCCTGGCCAGGGAGCAGACCCACATATGGCACAGCAGACCTCTCCTGTTTCCCTTGCTGCTCCCCTTAGCTGTGTATTTCAGGTAATCTGCCTATTCTGCTCCTCCACTCTGTCTCTATTGAATCCTCTCACACTGGAGCTGCTGGCCTGTGCCTCAGTTCTGTGTGCATAAAATTAATAAATCTTTAAAATAAATAAATAATCTTAAAAAAATAAAATGAATTGAAGCCCTACAAGATTGTGAAACTCCACAT